AAATTGTGTACGTATAACATGTTTACAATATATATAATAAGAAGATCAGACATATGATTGGAGAAAGAAATACAATTGTTCAAAGAAGAAAATACCTAATTTTGGTCTTGAAGTTTGGCGTAAAAGATAAATTTGACATGAACTTGCAAAAAAGACAATTTTTAGAATATTGAAAGAAATTGACAAATTTGGACTAAAATTTTGGTTGACCGTTAATACTAATAGTCAAACATATAACCATAAAAAAAAATAGTCAAACACATCTTCACCCATGATTCAAAAAACAATGCTGAGGTGGCTGCAAACGCGACGTGGCTTCCACTTCATAGGGATAATACCATATTTTGCAATGAAGTTGACGTAAAATACAATATTGGCCCGAATTTTCAAATAAGACAGGTTTGTTCTGACTTTGAAAGAAGTGGACAAATTTCGTCCAAAATTTGGATTGACCTTTAATATTGACAGTATGGATAGAGAGGTTTAGGTTCCGATGTGGCTACCACATTATTTATTTATAACATCTAAAAAAATTATTACAAAATAAAATGTGAAAATTTTTCAGAAGAAAAAAATAAGACCACAAAATAGGACCCTTGACTTATCCTAATATTTTCATTTTTACTTGCATTAATCAAATTAAAAAAATAAATTGATTAAGGCCCCCAAAAATCCCGATGAACAAAACTGAAACTCTCTTTGTACCCATCCACATCAATATTAACGATAACCGAAATTTTGTGCCAAATTTATATATTTCTTTGAAATTTCGGACAAAATTGTCTTTTTTGAAAGTTTAGGTCAAAATTATCTTTGATGTTAATGTTCAGCCAAAATAGCGTATTATCCCTATGACATGGAAGCTACGTCGCAGCCACTTTAGCATTGTATGTTGAGTCATATACAAAAGAAATGTTTGACCGTCAATATTAACGGTCAACCCAAATTTGTTCTCTTTCAAAACTCGGACAAAACTATCTTATTTGCATGTTCATGGCAAAGTTGTTATTTTTGTAAAAGCTCAGTCCAAAATAAGATATAATACCTAAATAATATAGGAGTACTCAAAATATTTGACTAATGAAGTTCAAAATGTTTCAAACAACATTCAACTCTGATAAAATTGCAGTCCAACGAACTAACATTGAGAACAAATGATTTTCCGACAGGATAAATGCAACTATAAATATGGGTGGTTCTATCATACTTTGAGTAAGAAAATGATATATATACCTTGAATGATATACTCTGAGTAAGAAAATGATGTCTAAACTTTGAATTGTCTGGAGATTGGGACGTGGTACTATACCCTAAACCCTTAATATTAAAATCTAGGTCTTAATTCTATGAATCTCATATACTAAGATAAGTTTAATTAGAAACAATAATCGAAAGTCATGTTTCATCGAAATACATCCAACAAATTATGTGCATCATCTTGATGTTTAGGACAAGGATTGAAACCCCCACTCCTCAAGGGTTAGGTATAGTATCATGACCCGAAATCCGGTTAATTCAAAGTCTAGATTGCCTTTTCTTACCAATGTATGCATTACCTTTTGTTTTTACTCAAACTACGATATAAAACACCATATATACTCACATATGTGTGTGGTTGTGTGTGCAAAATATAATTGGGTTTCCATATATTCAAGCTAAAGCGATTTTTGACCATTAAATCTTAAGCGCATTTTCTCAACCGTGGCAATGATTGAGACCGGGTTGGCAACCTTGAAAAGTAGTCAAATTAATATCTACACCAATGGTTAATGGTAATATAGTTAAACCGGTTTCCGACCTATAACTCTTAACTCATTTTCTTGATCGGCCAATAACTGAAATCGATTTGGCCACCAATGAGTAAAACTAATATCTTACACCAATGTTTAATAGTAGTATATCGAACCCACGCTGCCTAGTACTTTCTTTAAAAAAAATCAAGTTAACAGGCTGGTAAAGGGATATAGCAAATGAAATCAGTAAATTTGGGTTTTATCATTTATATAAAAAAAATACCACCGGTAGATTATAGAATGGATGATGTCAGAAGGAGATGGGTTAGTTTGCTTCACGATTGAGGAGAGGAGGCGGCCCTAACCTCAGGGTAGGCTTTCGATAAGTGGAAGACCGGTAAATTGGAGAAATTTGGTGAATAGCTATCGCCGGAGAGGAGATGTGACTGCAATATCTTCGCTTTTCCAGAATTTTGCTGCCTCTTCACGTCAATGAGTAGGCCGAATCGCCGGAGGTGAGGCTTCACTAAAGACTTTGTGAAGCTGGAAGATCCAACGATAGGCCCAACCGCCCAAGTGTCGTGAGAATTAATTCCATATGGCCCATGTGTGCTGAAGTGGATTGGGTTGGGTAAAATTGAAACGCACAGCAGCAATTAGTTAGAGTTGCGAAATGACTGAAAGGCCCATCCGTAAATCACTCTAGAGCCACCATTTTCAAATCCCTGAAAATCCTATCCATGTTTTGGCTTTATATATTGTATAGATACTAACAGAGCTAATTACCGATAATTTATCCTAAGCATATCTTCTCACAAGCCACGCAATAGAAATGTTGAGAATGTGCATCGAACCATTAGTTGGAATAGGGCGAAGCCGTATTCAGTTATGTAACTCGGACCTAAAAAAACATCATTCTAATCTTATTTGAAAATCGGGTTAAAGTTCATCAAAACAAAAACAATAATCATGTTAGTGATAATTATTTAAAAGGCCACAAAATTATTTATGATTCAATGTTATTAAATGTCGGTAAAATTATTCTCACAAATGAATTGTAAACATCATAATTATCGGATTGATATCAATCTACCCAATATGAGACATGCGGTCAATATTTACAACACACCTCTATCCGAACATCAAACTCCTTTCTCTCCTTTCAAAAACAAACAAACACGAAACATAAAGATATTGAGATACACAGAGGCAATTTGTCTTCCACTTCCGCAGTTCCACGTGGAAAATAAGTTTTTTTTTTTTACGAAACCTGAATTCATTACGAAATAGGAATGTGATACAGAGTTTGGACCGAAATCCAGGAAAGAATGTAGGCTAGTCTAAGAGCACATGGAGCCACCAAATGCAAACAGCCCAACAAGGCAAAAAAAAAAAAAAAGAAGAAACACCACCAAACCCCACAAAATCAAACGAAAAAAAACCCCCCAAGCCCAAACCAAAGAAAACAACATTGAGATCAACCCACACAAACAACCCTAAGCCCACAGAAAAACCCAACGTCACCACACACACATCAGCCGCCGTCCACCACCGCAACTCCCACAGAAACCACCGCCACAAGATCCAAGCACAACCCACCAAAAAAGCCAAACGGAGAACAGACCTCACCGCCACATCTCAAGAACCGTCGCTGGCACTCCACAACACCACCAACCACCATCACCGACAACCACCATCAGACCGCAACGGAACCAGACGCCACCGGAAGAGAAGGACAACGAGCAAGAACAAAGGTGAACGCCTCAAAGAACAAAAGAAACCACCGGCCCAACAACACCGCCAAAACCAAACAGCAATAACACAACCAGCCCAACCGCCTCCAACGCAACCCGAACAAAACCAGAGCCACACAGAACAAGGACAAAGAATAGAGCAACAAGTCCTCACAGAAAAGCCAAATCCCTACATCCAACCAGTTAACAAAAGAGCAGCAAGCATCAAGCCAAATCCACCGAATCACCGCGACATTTTGGGTGAAGCAAGGAGGAGAGCTCTATAAGTCAAACGGAAAGCTGTAAATTGCAAAAGCAATTCCCTCTGCACACCGAACAGAACTCAAGATCTAACTGCAGATATGAGCTGTGGAAGAGGAACCATCTCCGAAGAGAAGTTCATGGCAAAATCCACTTAGGGAGAGGAAAGAGGAACTGGAGAAACCCACGAGGGGCTGGAAGAGATGCAAACAAAAATAAAATTACAGGAGTGGCATATGGGTTGCCGCCGGCCACCCGTAGATGAAGCCGGCGACCCCCTCTGGAGAATGGCAAAAGGAAAGTAAGAGAGAGGGTAGAGGATTTGAACTAGAGAGAGAAGTGAAGTCACTCAAAAAATGACTTCAACCCCACGTGGAAAAATAAGTTGATATGTTATTTTTTTGGCCATTTTCCCGCCATTTTCTTGTTTTCTCATTCAATTCCTCCAAGTCCCAAGCATACCCATTTGACTATTTCCCACTCTCACAAGTCACACCATGGGCAAGGGACGAGATCGATGGTAAGTGAGTTTTGTCTTTTTTATTTGATAGAAGCTAAGGGTTGGTTTACTTGCTGCAATAGGGTTATGAGTTTTGAATACTTTTGAATTTAGGCAAAATACACTTTTATAGTTATAACTTGGGTTAATATTTTTGTATGGCCTGAACTTTGACCAAAGTAAACATCCTGGCCAATCTTTTCGATCTATAACATTCTGGCCCGAACTATACACCAAAGTAAACAATTTGGCCAGATCAGACTTTTGACCGTTAACTTGGACGGTCAAACGCGTTGACCGTTAGTCAACGCGCCATGTCACCGCCAACTCAGCAATTTTAAATTAAAAAAAAAATTTCCACCGCATATGTGCTTTTATTTTCCTTTCCTTTATCATTTTGAACGGAAAAAAACACCCACCGCCCTTCACCTTCTCCTTCCTTCATAGTCGAAGCTCCTCCTTCGACCGATTAAAATGCGGCGGCGGGCGTTGTTGAACAAAAAAGTAAAACAAAAATCAATCAAAACAAACAAAAAACCCTTCAATCTCCTCTCTAATCCCCTTTCACTCCCGCTGTCGAGACCTCTCCAATTCCCTTCCACTCCCCGCTGCAGAATAGTCCCGCGACCACCTCCACGTTGGTTCAATTTCTCCCTTTTCCCTTCACAATTAGTGTTCAATTTCACAGATTGCAGAATGGGAAAAGAAGTTTGTGTACCAGGCGGAGGAAAGGCGTTGTAGACGTCGTCGCGAAGTGGGTAGCAGACCCCCAAATTAACATAAAAACAAAACCCTAATCGCTAGTTCCACGAAACTTCCATCTCTGTCATCGATTACCACCCTTCTCCCTTCTTTTGGCGGCGAGGGATGTTGGGGAAGCTGAGGCGGCGTGGGAGCGAGAAGGGCAGCGTAGTGGTGGTGGAAGAAGAGCCGCGGTGCTGCAGCAGAGTCGTCGTCGTTCTCGAGGCGGTGGAAGTTGCGGTGGCAGGTGCAGGCGGCACATTTGAGGGCGTCGATGCGGCCGTCTGGCCCAGATGGCAGGAACTCCCTGCAGCCGTCCACCACGTGGCCTCCGATCCCGACCGCCTGGTTCTTCGGGCACTCTCTATACTTGCTCCTCGTCGCCATCCCCGCCGCCGCCGCGACCTTTGTATCCAGCTCCAGCGTTTGCTCCTCTGAGCCGGTAGCGGTGCTGATATTTGGTCGGGAGCTGGAGGGACTATCAATTTCATCGGCCTCTTCATCTTCGTCTTCTTCCTCGTGGAGCTCTAGTTGATCCTCGAAGTCCATCCTTTCTCCAGATTCGTCTTCAATTTGTTTTTTTTTTCTCGTTCAAAATGATAAAGGAAAGGAAAAGGAAAATGAAAATAGGTGTAAATTAAAAAAAAATAATTCAAAATTGCTAAGTTGGCGGTGACATGGCGCGTTGACTAACGGTCAACGCGTTTGACCGTCCAAGTTAACGGTCAAAAGTCTGATCTGGCCAAATTGTTTACTTTGGTGTATAGTTCGGGCCAGAATGTTATAGATCGAAAAGATTGGCCAGGATGTTTACTTTGGTCAAAGTTCAGGCCATACGAAAATATTAACCCTTATAACTTTACACTTTATAATAATAAATATAATCAAAATTTGAAAAATACACAAAAATAGTCAGCTTTTGAAACATATTTGACAAATTTAGCCATTTTCGTTAGAAATTTTAACGGTGTTAGAGGTGTCGTTAACACCTATCAACAACAAGCTTCGGTGGCACCTCTTCAGCTTTCACGTCACTTCTCAATGGCCAATTATGCCACGTGTATGCCTGTTTACACCATAAAATTTGTCTTGTACCACATTGGTGAGTTACAAGATAATCAATGAGTTTATAAGTCCACACCCATTATAACAATTAATGTTGTTTAAATTGGGCCTTATGGATATTGATTTTAAACCCAAGTCACTAGCTCATTAATGAGCATGGACACGATTCGATAAGGGACATGGGCCTCTCGTAGGAGGCCATGCCATGCCACGAGATGACATGAAAATTTCTAAGTATGAGAAGTCCATGGCCATGAAGGAAGAGGCCATGCCGCCTCATAACCAAGACCAAACGACACAAAAACATGTCCATCTAGAATTTAAAAGCACATGCCATCTCAAGGAAGACCTCGGTACGATCAAAAATATTCTAAGTCTCGAGAAGGACATGCCACTTCACGAAGAGGCCATGCCGCCCCATGACCAAGGCCCAATGACTGAAAAATAAACTAAGTCTGAAAGAGGTACATGCCACTTCAAGGAGAAGCACATGCCACTTCACGAGAAGGGGCATGGACGCAAGAAAAGATACTAAGTATGAGAGGGCCATGCCGCCTCACGAGAAGGGTCATGTGCATGATTAAGAGGTCCATGGCCGTGTCATGTGATGGCCATGGACGCGAAGCAAGAAGCATTAGAGATGATTGAAAATCCTAAGTATGGAAAGGCCATGCCGCCTCATGAGAGGGGCCTTATGCGTGATTGAGAAGTCCATGCCACTTCACAAGAGTGGCCATGGACACGAATAAAAAGGGTGTGGTGATGGAGCATTATATCACTAGTGAATATGTCTCAAAAGGTCCATGACCGTTAGACAAGAAGGCCATGGACATGAGTAAGAAGTTCATGGCCGCAAGACAAGAAGGCCATGAACATGAGTAAGAAGTCCATGGCCGCGAGGCAAGGAGACCACCACCCCCTTTTGCGAGACACCACATGCTTATCAAAAGACTAGCATGACACAAGATTCAGAACAAGACCACGCGAGGCAAGCTACACTCCAAGACCCACGACGGTTACAAGAGAGGCCCCTAGGCGGTTGAAGGAGTAACCACCACTCCGAGGAAGAAGGGAGCGGTTCTTTTTGGGAGTTATCCAAGAGGCGGTTTTTTACCGAAGAAGGGGGAGCGGTTCTTAGTAGCAGTTATCCAACAAGCGGTTTTCTATGGCGGTTACCTCCTCGAGGCTATAAATAAGAGGAGGGGTCGACAGAGACAGGGGTTCCAAAACCAACACAACTGACACACATGTCAAGTTTATCCTTTACCTTTTCTCTATCATGTAGCCATAGATGTAGTTCGTAGTTTGGAGCTCTCGCCGAACCTCCATAGGAGTAGAAGTAACTTAATTTAGTTTTTCATTCCCAGAAACCATCAATCAAACACCCTCGTTTGAACTTTGTTTGAAGAGGTGTGAGTCGTGTCTTAGTAATCGTTGTCCAAAGAAGTCAAAGGTGCAATCCATCTCAATTCAACGCAAGTTTTCTCGTCGGAAAACAAATTTGGCACACCTGGTGGGACCTTGTGTTTGATATGATGGCTCCACGACATAGACAACAAGATGAAGATCTTCTACACGTCTTCGTAGAAGAGGATCAAGTGACTAGCTTCAAAATTGGTCGAGTGGATGTTGTCGCCAGAAACAATGGTGGGATGAAGGCTCTGCCAGCACCGGCGACAAGTTTGGACGAAGCAACTTCCATCACTTCGCTCCATCAATCCATTGAGGAGGGTATGGTTGACCCCCAACAGGTAAACCGACGTTTAACTTCTCATATTAAGCGCCATGCTTCTCTTATTGAACGTATCGATTCTCTCATTGAGCGTCATGATTCTCTCATTTCTTGGATGGATACATGGATATATAATTGGTTTGGCAACTTGAGCAAGACTCAAAGCCATTTTTATGAGTCTAAACATGTCTCGGACATATCTGTGGTTCAATCAAGGACTTTGCCAATAAATAGCAAAGATCCACCACTAAATAGTGTTACATGGTGTAAGAATCTTTCTTCCACTGGTTGTCAAAATGGTCGATCGTGGAAAGGAACATCGCCGACATCGGTAACAAGCCAACTGCCATCTCAACATGGGAGTTGTGGCCAAAATTTGGCCTTCACGTTTACGACCCATGATTGTGACTTGTCTGTACAATATGGAGTTCAACCGCCCATGCTAGATAGAAGAACTCCTGTGGATGATGTAGGTGGTGGCGTTTCATCCAAAATGGATCAAGTACCACGATCTGCTCACCCACCCCCAATGCCACCCCCAGTGAATAGGCAAGGAGTGAATTATGAAGAACTCAAACCATCTAGAGCCCATCATGGGGGGCATGAAAGTCTAACTTCCCACAAGGTGAAGCCTAGAAGTCCATCTAGGGGGCATGTGGTGTCTAAGAGACCACATCAATCACAAGCAACACATGCTTGTGCTAAGCATGCTAATTTGGCTAAGTCTAGACATGGGGGCATGTCAGTGTCACCCATCATGAAGTATGAAGTAGGGGGCATGTCTTGGAAGCCACAACAGCTCCAAGCCACCCATGGTTTTTATAAGTGTAAAACTATGGTTAAGTTTGGACAAGAGGGCATCCCACCAATCACCAACAGTGGATATGAGGTCAAGTCCAACAAGAAAAGACGTGGGAAAGCCAAAAAGAGTTCTCGGAGTGTTGAAAATTTAGTTAAGTATGGGCAAGGAGGCATGTCACCCACCATGAATAATGAAGTAGGGGGCATGTCCAAGAAGCTAAAAGAATTCCAGCCTACACATGCTTGTGATAAGTACACAAGTTTGGCTAAGTGTGGACAGGGGGGCAAGTCCATGTCCATGAGTAGTAAGTACATGCCATCAATCATGAATGATGGACATAGGGGCATGCATAAGAAGGTATCATACGCACAAACCAGACATGGCCTCACAAAGAACCAAGGATGGTTGTGTGCTAAGGGTAGGAGCCAACAAGATTTGGAGGTTGAAAGACAAAGTCAAGTGGGCCACATGGGTGGTCGCCAACTTGTCAAGACTAGACATCATCTCCAACAATATGAGGAGAGTAAGCATGTCTCAACCATGAGGAAACCAAGGCAGAGGAAAACCCATGGTCGTCTTGACATGTCAAGTGATGTGGCTAAAGCATATGAGCATGAGACCCCATGCAAGGCCACCAAGGCTAGACATGCTGATCATATACCACCCACTGGTAAGCTAGAAGATTCAAAATTAATGTATGGAGAATCATGTTCCATGGAGGAAAAGAGGCATGTGGTATATGGATGGCTTGCATGTTTTAATCCATGGACTTGGAAGTGGGTGTACACCTTTGGCGCATTAGTTGTTGCCAGAGGGGATGGAGAGCAGTGACGTTTGTCACTTCTTGTTATCTTAAATATCATATATATTAATATATAAATAAAAGCCAATCATGGCTGTATAAGAAGAAATAGAGAGAAAATAACAAAGTGAAAATCTTGAGTCGGAGTTGTTAGACTTCGACATGAAGATCTTGCCACCAAGTTATTGTGATGGCTTGACACGACGAGCCATACATCAGGCCATGCCATGCCATGTTATCTTGTCCCGAGTAGCCACGGCTGAGGGGCATGATGGCTTGAAAGTGGTAGTAGAGGAGTGGTGACCATAATGTCTCTACCAACATAAAAATGAACATTATTTTTTCTAAGGCAAAAAAGTAGACGGCTTGACTTGTCGCGAGGGAACTGTCTAGCCTTGTGACGAGGTGGGATGAGCCAATCTATGCCTAAATAGGTGCAAAAAATTCTAAGTTATTTTCTCAACCATGTGGCCAAGTACGAGATGTCAATGAGGGTGTAGGTGATAAAGTGAAGTTGGTGTCTCGTTGAATGCATTAGGCAGCTTGACCATTAAAAGCCAAAATTTGGCTAAGGCATGAAACAAGTTTTGACGTCGAGTACCATCCTACCGTGTTGGCTTGACGTGAAAGCCAAATTTTGGCTAAGGACGAACTAGGTGTGTTGAGTAGACACTAGCCATCTTGTTACTTTCGCTAGCATGGTGGTGTTCAACTACTTAGTCCATAAGCCTTATGAACTAAGTAGTTGGGGGGCATTTGTTTACACCATAAAATTTGTCTTGTACCACATTGGTGAGTTACAAGATAATCAATGAGTTTATAAGTCCACACCCATTATAACAATTAATGTTGTTTAAATTGGGCCTTATGGATATTGATTTTAAACCCAAGTCACTAGCTCATTAATGAGCATGGACACGATTCGATAAGGGACATGGGCCTCTCGTAGGAGGCCATGCCATGCCACGAGATGGCATGAAAATTTC